GACGTATTTTCTGTTTTTTCCTTGGCATTACTGGAATAATTACTCATAATATAGATGTGATGTGGAAAGAAAACAGTTCATATATTTTTACATTTTATTCTCTGCAAAATAATTAATATATATAAAGAAAGAGGAAAATGATTTTTATTTCGCCATGGCTTGGATTTATTCCCAGGAAGTCTTGAAAATTTGGATTTTCAGTTATTGCTATCGCTCAACTACGTTAGTTTTTTTTAACTTGAATACGCATGCTCGAATTCACGGTAGGGCATTTTGGGAAAAGATACCATATCAGTTTTGTATCATCATCTGAAAATAAATGTCATCTGTAGCTTCATGTGTTGTCGTCTAACCTGTATAAAAAAAATACAAGAACAAGCAATCTACGCCCCATTATTCGAAGACTGCAGAGATCAGTTATTATAAAATTGATAATAAAAACCTAGCTTTTCTGAACTACTTTCTCAGGACTTTCCTGCAAGCTCGGAAAAACAAGCTCGAATGTGTTAAAGCAAGCATCCATGTGATTACCCCCTTTTCACAAAGCTTGAAATAAATATAGGAGACCTCATTGAATGCAACGTACGATATATCGTCAATTCTCATTATATCGCGGGTTCCATTGTATCAAAAATTAGGATATATAGCTCATATCCTTTGTGTTGATGGACTACCTGTCTGTCATCTGAATGTTGATTTCTGTGATGATTAAAAAGCATGGAACACCCGTTTGAAATTTTTTTTTATCTAAATAAAACGTAATTTTACAGATTTCAATTCCCGTTTTTATTTTATTTAGACCATTGAATTTATATCCTAGTAAAACCCATAGTAAAGTCATATTTTGAAAGTCTTAAGTTTGTATTATTTTTTAGTTTGCATGTAGATTTACATCGTAAATTCAGAAATAAAAATTGTCCTTCGTGACAGCTGCAAGCTTACATGTTTTTCAGTACCGCGATACAATGAGACTCTCCACTTTAGGAGGTAAATAAGACTTCCTGTTTTTAAAATAGACCACAAATTAAACGAAGCAAGCTTGGGAAATAATTAGCCACGAAAAGTTAGGCCATTGTTAGGTTTATGAATAGCATTTGATGAAAGTTAAAGTAAAAGTGTAAAAGTAAAACCTTTTTTTACGCAAAAAAATAAGTACCGCGATATAGTGAGACACCTGTAAAACCTAAACTTCGTCTCGTGAGGTTAAACCCAGGGTCGTGAAACCCAAGCCATGGTATAATTTACAATACACCACAAAACAGTCAAAATTGTATGGTTTATCTATTACTAAACTACAGAAAAGACAATCAACTCGATCTGTATAGACAATGTTTTATTTGATGGGAAGCGACTCGTTTAACATACGGTGATGTAAAGTTTTCTGAAAAACCAAAAAAGGTCTGAGAAGTTGAGATTTCTACAAAACAGTGCCACACTGGAATATTTTAAAGTAGGTGCTCATTGGTTCTACTGATTTCTTAAAATTAAGGTATTTTCCACCTCAGTATTTAAATTACAGTGAATGACAGGTTGCTTAAAGTTCAGTGATGCCCTTGCCGACGTAAAGGCCTCTCTACTTTCACCATCCTGAATTGAGACCCCTTTCCCCACACCCCAGTGCAGCATCGCCTTTCTATTAACAATTAATCGACTCAGCAAAAAAAAAAAAAAAAAAAGAAAAGAAAAAAAAAACATACTTCTGTCTTTTTAGGACACTTGAGTCACTCAGATGACCTATTGCAATCTGTTTTCGTCGACATCGTGCGTTTGTTTGTTTGTTTATTGATTAACGTCTCTCTCGAGAATTTTTCACTCATACGGAGACGCCACCACTTAACGGCGGAGAGGTGCAATTTTTGACCTATATCCGGCACTTAGGGCCATTGAGCAGTGATGGATCTTTTTCGTGCCAGCACCTACTGCGACACGGGGCCTCGGTTTATACGGTCTCATCCGAAGGACCGGTTTCCACGTCCCACAGTGGCATTCGAACTCGCGACGTAAGGATCAACTCCTTACTCCGCGACTCTAGAGCGAACGCTCTAACCACTGTGCCACGCGGGCGACCAACTTCGTGCGTTGTGCGTCGTTCGTAAACTTAAGAACAATTTCAGCTTCTTCTCATAAACAGCTGCACCAATTTCAATGAATTTTGGTATAGAGCATCTATGGGCAAAGAGGGACAAAAAATTTGAATTTCATGGTCCCTGATCCCTGGGCCCTAGGCGTGGGGCCAAAACCAAGAGAATTAATGCAATTTTCAAAAATCTTCTGTACTCCTGGACATCAAACAGTCAAATTGTGAAATTCATGGCCCCAGGATCAGGGGTTCCGTCGTTAGGATGGGGCTCTATATTGATCATATGATAAAATTGCATTAATTCTTTTGAAAGATTTTCTCTCCCCTGTATATTAAGCAAAGAAACTAAGTAAATGGTTAAGAAGAGCAAGGGTGCCTCTTCCAAAATTGTAAATATCATGGCACCTGGATCAGGGGTTCTGGTGATAGGGTGGGCTCTGTCGATTATGTAGCGAAAATACATAATTTCTGTGAAAATATTCTGCTCTTGGGTATTTTGCAGACATACTAAGTGCATGGTTATGTTGAGCAAGGGTGCCTCTTCCACAATGGTGAATTTCACGGCTCCTGGGTCAGGGGTTCTAGTGTTAGGGCGGGGCTCCATTGATTATGTAGTTAAAATGAATTATTTCTTTGAAAATCTTCCTCTCTGCCACTGAGTGCTTGAAAAACATACTAAGCACATGATTATAATGAGCAAGGCTGCCTCTTCCAAAATTGTGAAATTCATGACCCTTGGGTCAGGGGTTCTGGTGCTAGGGTAGGGATCTATTGATTATAAAGTGAAAATGCTTTATTTCTTTGAAAATCTACTTCTCTGCCCATTGGTATTTGGCAGACATACTAAACACAGGGTAATGATGATCAAGGGTGTTTCTTTCAAAATTGTGAAATTCATTGCCACTAGGTTAGACGTTCTGGTGTTAGGATGGGAAATTGCATACATTCTTTGAAAAGATTCCTCTCACCCCCTGTTTCAGAGAAACTAAGTGCATGGTTATAATGAGCAGAAATGCCTCTTCCAAAATTTTCTGGGCATTTGTTTGGCAGATATAATAAGAGCATGGTTAAGATGAGCAAGGGGTCCCCTTCAACAATTGTGAAATCAATGGCCCCTGATCAGGGGTTCTGGTGTTAAGGTTGGGTTCTATTGATTATATAGTGAAAATGCATTTTAACATTCGTATCTCTACAGTACCTCGAGGACTTTTGACTAACAATCGTATCTCTACAGTACCTCGAGGACTTTTGACTAACATTCGTATCTCTACAGTACCTCGAGGACTTTTGACTAACATTCGTATCTCTACAGTACCTCGAGGACTTTTGACTAACAATCGTATCTCTACAGTACCTCGAGGACTTTTGACTAACAATCGTATCTCTACAGTACCTCGAGGACTTTTGACTAACATTCGTATCTCTACAGTACCTCGAGGACTTTTGACTAACAATCGTATCTCTACAATACTCAAGTGCTGTCGACAGTAACATTCGTATCTCTACAGTAACCAAGTGCTGTCGAGAGTAACATTCCCATCTCTACAGTACCCAGGTACAGTGACATTCGTTTTTTCTACAGTAGAAGTGCACAGGTACCGGACATTATTTATTTTTCTTTTAATAAAAAAAATATACATGTACCACTTACTTGAATTACCTAGGTAGGGGTGCCTGTGCTTAAGTGCTGTGGACAGCAATATTCGTATCTCCACAGTAACCTGCAGTATCTAACGTATACTGTCGATGTAAAGATTCTGATCCCAGAACCCCATGTGTTGTCGACAGTAACTCTTGTTTCTCGAGTATCTTTAGTCCTGTCTACGGGGGCTCTGTTAATCCAAAAAATGTTTTATGTGTTGTCGATAATAACACTTTTGATCCCTACCGAACCTGTAATATTTGAAGTCTACTATTCCTCGATCTATTTCGGTAACACTTTTGGTCCACGCTTCACACGTTGTCACTAGTAACTACTTCTGGTTTACGAAATGTCTCTCGTCTCATCGACAGTCACTATTCTGGTCCAGATAATGGACACATCAAATCCAGGGTGTTTCAAGCTTCGTTGTAATTTGTAATAATAACTTTATAGCGAGCGCTTAAAGCAACGCCTAGGCAAAGAGGAAATTCGGACTTTGCACATTGATCCAAACGATTTTTTTCGCAGTTACCTGTGCTCCCATAATGCTTTGCAAATTGCATCTCGCCGCAAACAACGTTCTCGCGGTAACAAGAAGTTTCAAGTAAAAAATAAACTCACCTTGATTTGATGGATATATAGCAGATAAATAGTAGATTAAAACCTTCTTTATTAAAATTAGCACTGTTCAGACTTTTATTTGGTAATGCAACTTACAAGCGACGTCATGTGACGTCAGAGTCTAGACGTACTAAATGTCACGTGCGATTTGAAGAGCCCGATCTAAATAAAACTGAATATAGGTATCTGCGCTCGCCCTAACGGTCGCACCGTCAACATATTATCTAAATTACCAGAAGTGGGGATTTTGTGTGCATCTATTGTTTTATGCCTAGAAGTGTGCTTTTAAATACAAACACCTTTGTACACTATGCATATATTTTATCAGCACCATGAATATTATAGCGAGCGCAGCGAGGCGGCGCGAAGCGCCGCTCGCGTAGCGAGCTCCATAGACAACGTGTACGAACGGAGGAAATTCGGGTTGAAATCTGGACATTGTTCAAAGAAATTTTTATCGTCCCGCGTGAAAATATTCCATACTCCCAATAATCCTTTGCGGTGCATAGCAACATGGTGGCTTTAGCATAGCAACAACTTACTTGAAAAAAATAATACACAACGATTTAATTCAATTTCCATGCCATAATTGCCCACAAAACTATCGTGTGCGTCATTGGTACACACGACTTTGTATGTGACGTCATATTTTCGTCA